GCGTGGAAACCACCCAATAGCAACAAACTTGGCCCCAATAGCAGGGGAGGGCATGAAACGTTCCAAGGGAAATGCAGGGTTAAATACACTAATAATATAACCCACAATGAAAATACCAATGATAATTCACATTACTTTCCATTGAATGGGACTGCACCCCCTGCGACCCCCCACTGGGGGAGCTGTCACCCCCCAATCCCCACCAAGAAACAAAGCATCCACCACATATTCATGGCAGGATAGAGTGTTACACAATTATAAAGGTATTGTAACTTTCCCACTGAAGCAGCATACAAGGTATACAATATACAATGAACAGTAAGCGGTGGTGGCCTGCTCTCCTCAGCGGGTTTACGCAGCTCTTGAGGTTACACCAGTAGCCTCGGAGATGGAGTGGAATGATAAATGTACATAATTAAGACTGCCAACAGATGGCAGTTATTATCCCATATAGTTACTGAAGTGACTATGTCGCAATCTATTGTATAAGAACGTCTTCTGGAACCACGAGATCCATGTGCATAACCAAAATAATACTGTATAATTTCCATTCTTCTGGAAGTAATAAGATACGTGTTCAAAACAGGTACTGTACAACAGCGATGGCTGAATGTGGAGGTGCACCTACTCAAAGACAATCTTTATGCTTGAGGTCGCCACCAGCCGATGTGCTTCTGCCACGGCCTCCTTCGTCGGGGAAAAGCCTGCGAGCCTGTGGCATCTATCAATCAGATTGAGCGCCATAAAATTCCTTGGTTATATAATAGGTTATCGGCTCCACATCTAGTTCGTGTGCGCTCTAATCTCCCATGCACATGTAGTGGATGCTTCATTTCCTCGGTTGGGGGCGGCAGCCCCCTGCAATTAAAGTACTGTGAATTAACATTGTTATTTCATTGTGGGTTATATTATTAGTGCTTTTTAACCCTGCATTTTCCCAGGAACCTTTCATGTCCTCCCCTGATATTGGGGCCAAGTTTTCACTAACGGGGTGTTTCCGCGCAATAAGAACTATATATTTGCATTGTGGACAGTAATAGGAATCCAATGATACCAAAATCGTTGATGTAGGAGCAGCAGAGCTAAGATAGAAAATTACCTATTATTTAAAATTCACATAATATTCAAGCTAATCTGCTTTATGGAACTATTAAACAATTAAAACTGACCTCATCACAGCTTTCAAATACTTGGATGTTCACTTCAATTACGAAATTCACATCCTTACTATAGCATTTCCCTTAATTAAACAGGTACATGTTGAATTCTATAAACTTGCTTATCAGAATAGCCCCTTGTCTGATTTCTCGTTAATCTTCAACCAAAGTCAAAGAAGTTTATGGCTTAAAATTACCTTTTTCTCTCACAGCGGTATGCCGTTGTTTGTAAACATTGCGGTCGCCAAGGAACGTTCGATACGGCGACATCGTGCACAGGGAGAATGTTGTTGTACTACGGGGATTATCGTGCTTTGTTTATATTATTATTATTGTTATCATGACCATCAGTAGTATTGTCTTTATCGTTAACATTATCATCGTTAATTATCATGATCACCATCACCATTAATTAGCAATGATGATGATTCATCATCACTCATCATTGCTCATCATCAATCATTAATCAATCATTATCATCATCAATCATCACCACCATCAATCAATCATTATCATCAATCATCATCATCAATCATCATCACCACCATCATCATCAATCAATCATTATCATCAATCTTCATCATTTGGGGGGAGATGTGGTTTGGGTGGTATGGGTGGTTTCGGTGGTTGAGAGAATGAGGTATTTTGGGAAGGGGTTGGGGGAATATAATGGGGTAGAGCAACTGAGTAAATTGCAGTGTATCTGTGACTGGGGAAGGAGTTGGGACACTGATCAAAGAAAACAGAGGTGGAAATTGGAGAAGTAGGAGAAGAATCCAGGGGTTGAGAAAGGGAGACTGGGGAAGGTGCTGAAGCGCTAGGAAAAATGCTTGGAGAGGAGGGGTCCCGAGAAGGACACTGTTGTGATACAGAGGATTCGTGTTAGCATTTAAGTGGTAGACATAGTGGGGTATGTTGGGAGGGTGTGGGAGGAAGGGGGGTGGAGGGAACTTGGAAGGAGGAGAATGAATATCTGCAAATACTATGCAATACTATGCTATGCGCCCCCGTCGGCGTCAGCCCCCATGATGATGATGATGAAATACTTTTAATGTAGCAGGAGTAGGAACAGAGATATTGAGGGGGATGAAGGAGCGGAGTGTTCCTTGGGTCATCTTTTGGAAGTTTTGGATGTCTTCAAGGGTTTCTGGAGGGGAATTTGGTATAGAGGACTGAGAAACAAAGGTTCTCTTATAAGGAGGCGAAGAGGAGATGGATATCTGAGGAACAGATGAAAAGGAAGGTGAAGGAAAGTGTCAAGTGAAACATTTAGCTTGTCTGGTATGACAACTAAAGTGAGGAAGAGGGGTAGATATCTGGGAATGGGTAGAGACTGGAGTATCTGGATTTAAGATAGAAAATGGATTTGACTGGTGGATAGAGTGAGTAGACATAGGACATAGGTTTTGGGTATAGGGAAAAGATACCTGGGGAGATGCAAAAATATCTTGTGTAGATGGTGAGGGGAGCAGAGCATAGGACTGTTTTGGAATAAGTTGAGAGAGAAAAACCTCGTCGTCGTGCTTCCTGTCTGGCCTCACGTAGAGTAAGGCCTAGTTTAAATCTGAGGACTGCTACCTCACATTCAAACTTATAGGCAGGCAGCTCCTATAAAACACATTATGGGAGTCTCCACATTTGGCACATGTACATAACTGAGCAGGGCAATTTGAATGGTCATGACCAGGTTGGGCACATAGAGGGCAGTGGGCTGTGGAGCAACAATGTTTGGCTGGGTGGCCAAAACGCCAACAATTTTGACATTGATGAGGAATGGGTTGATATTGTCAGAAATGGTAAGACAATTCACCAATATAAACCTCATGAGGGAGGTCTTGTCTATGGAAGTTAATCTTGGCAATATTGATGTGAGATTTACGTTGGGAGGAAGCGTGTAACACTGTACTGCCACTGCATCATATTCATCAAGGCAGGAAAGTAGGTCATTTTCACAGTCTGACCAGTCCTTGTTATACATGGGACAAGCATTTGGGGAATAGAAACAGTTCCAGTACAAATATTAAGAGTTGGGTGAGGTTTGGCAGGATTGGGTTTGCCAGTAAGCTCAGTTAGGGCAGATAGTGCATGAGCTTGAGCTTCAAATGTAACCGTGACAAGGCATGAACAATCAGAGCGACTACGAAAGGTAACCTTGCCTACTTGTTTCTGGAGGCACTGCTGAAAGAGAAGGGTATTCTCAGAATAGGAGGTTGGGGGGAATCACAAAGAATCGATCCCACTTGACTGGGCCAAATAGAGTACCCAAAGAATTGCAGAGGTACAGGTAGTAGAAGGACAAGGGCGAGAGGAAGATGGGGTGGTATGAAGTGGAGTAGTTCTGCTGGGGGGAGGACAATAAGGATGAAGAGTAGTAATAAGGGAAGAGGGGTTGACATTGAAGAGGGTTGTGCAGCAGGGGATGAAGAGGAGAATGTAGGGGATGAGGAAAAGGTATTTTCCAGGGGTTGAGTAATAACCTGGGTGGGTGTTTCAGAATGGTTAGAGTTGTTCGTAAGTGTCAAAGAGGGGGTATCATCATCAGTGGTCGAAGCCATGGGCTAAGGAGGGGCAGGGGTTGGAAAACCATCAGAATCTAATTCAGATTGGCTATTTGGTGAAGGGGCAAGCCTTAATGCCTCTATCAAGGTTAAGGAATCTTCATTACTGGCCATGGTGAGCCTGAAAATTAAAGGGGATTAATGGTCTAACCCAGTGGCCCACGAGGGGTAAGGGCTTAAAAGGGTAAGAGAGTGTGTGAGTGTGAGTTGTGAGTGTGAGTGTGAGTGTGAGTGTGAGTGTGAGTGTGAGTGTGTTGTTGTGTGTGTTTCTTTTTACTTCAGTTCTCGTCTCTAAAATAAATACATTCAACTCATATTAGAATTTGCTTCAGATGTGCAAGTCAAGCCAGTGGTCCATACAATAGCTACACTAAGTAGTAAGTGGGGAGAATGAACCTTGTTCAAGTGAATACTTATCCTGTATCATTATTTTTGTTCATTCTAATATTTTAGTTTCACAAGATATGTATTTTGCACATATGTTTTGAACCTCAGTTGCAATCTTTTGTTACACTGAAGCAAAATTTTTTCTTGCTCTTAAACTTTAACAGACCTAAGCCTTATTCTTAAGGCCAAAGTCCTTTTCATATGTTTAAGTAGTTATGGATAGCACAAAAATTACCTGTTATATCCCATGATCATATATTCATCTGTGGCTAGATATGTACAGTAATTTTTTTTTATTACATTTCTTATTTAAAATATATTTTGAGAAACACAGGTGGCATTTCATTATAAGGCATTATGATAAAGTGTAAATAATATAAATAGTAATTATTCAGTGTTTTATTTCCATAACTTACCAAACCTTATTTTTACCTGATCTGCTTCCTGTTGCCTTCTAATTGTTGATGCAAACCATTTTTTATTTTGTATAAGTTCCATGCCATGGAGTGTAGGGTATAGTTCTTTTTCTTCCAGATAATGCAAAACCCTGATTCAAACTTATAAATGAATAATAAAATAATTCATTTACACCATAGAGTGGGATAAAAAAGGGTAATTTTGCTCTCCACAGTGCAATAATAAGTTTCTCTCTTGCACAGCATGATAAAAAATCACCACATACTACACTTTGTGTAGCATGAAAATGTCATATAAATAGGTAATTAAAAATGTTTCTGATTGTAAAGTCAACAACTATGGATAATCTGAATAGCTATTCATTAATTCAATATAATTAGAAAAACAAAATCCAAATCTATCTGTTTAGCACCCAATAAAATAGATAAAAGATATAATATTACAAACTTTTACACAGACAAAAGGTAATTGAGATATGTAGGAGAAACTTTTCATTTATTCAAGGTCACCAATAATTTAAAAAAGCATATTCATTACAGAATCAAGTGTACATACAATTAAAAATGCAAAACTATGAGTACAAGATACAAAATGGTGGGAGAAAGGGTATGTAGACGACAGTGTGAGTAAGGGTTGCTGCCGAGGGGGTTTGGGAGTCGGGTCAAGTGTGAGGCCTCCCTGAGCCCGATGGAGGACCCCCAGTCGACGGTGCCCGGCCATGGCAAACAGGGGGCAACATACATCCTTACCAAGGACATTCCTGTCAATGTGTCTGAAGTTGAGATTACAACTATGAACTCACTGGGAGGTTACAGGCATGGTTTTCTTTGCACTAGTACAATGTGCTCCTTGGCCAATGTTTGCATAACTTGACAAGCATGTATTTATGCAGCCCTGGAAGCATGGCACCAACCTCTTAATATAACCCACTACTCACATGCCCACCACATCACCCACATACAAAACTCTACAAATAAGCTTACTACTAATACAGTGTTGATAAACATGCAACATGTTAAAAGTGTGTACGACTGAAATCACAGGTTAGGAGACCAGAGGTGGAAAAAAGATACAGTACGTAAATTTCATCCTATGAACTTTTTAATGATTCCCCACCCATATCATACGCACTATGGCGTAATGAAATTCTAATTTCTTTTTGACAGGTTGATCCAATTAAAATTTTTAAAATTTAATTCATTTATATAATTCTCAATGAACAGTATCCCCACAAAGGGACTTAATATACTAATAGCAGTACAAAGCATACACAAGATTGCAGACAGAGTAAAACCATTAACCTGGAGTACACTTGCCAATGGTCATCGTGTCCCAGCAGCAAAGGAAGAGGTAGGAACACATGGATGTCACTTGTGTGAGGTGACCGGCTGCTGTGCATGCTGCTGACACCTTAGACGTTTGGCTTGTCGCCCCTTACTTGCCCGGTCTGTTTTTTAAGATTTTTTAATGGATATTTTTGTGTGTTTTTTTAGGTGATTTTTTAATAATTTTATTTACTTTTTATTCTTTTTCACTTAAGTGGCCTGCCAGCCATCACCAATTTCTGGGCAGTATTGATTATCAGTTCTTACTAAGTGGTCATCCTACATTCACTAAACGACGTTTCTTTGTCCCTGGGGTGTTGCTAATGGCAGTGTTTATCAAAGTTGATAGGTCCCCTATGCATTTCCAATAATAAAAATGTTTCTGAAAAAATTATAAACCCTACACATTCACCATGCTGGCAGTGTGGAGGCTCGCATCAGAAAACAGGGGTGGACAGCCGTTGCAGTTTAAATTTTACTCCAGTGAAAAACGTGCACATTTGGGCATCCTGCCTAGTGAGGTGTGGCAGGCCTAGAAGAGAGTATTTCTTGAGCCTTGCAGTGATACTGATATCTAGGGTCCCTCCACTGGATCATACCTTGACACATACATCACTTTTCACCACCACCTCCGCTACATATCCCCGGAGGAGCTGCTGCTGCTGCACACACAATTTACTGTATACATCTTTTTTATTTTATTTTTATAATAATCAACAGCAAACAGAGACACTTGTTAACTTTCATATCTTCAAGCAATACCATGATCAAGGAAACTTATCCACTCAGGTTCTACTTAGTCATTATTTAGATTGACAGTCTTTATCAGAAATGACTAAATGAGCACACATTGGTAAAAGACTGGACATGTGCAGAGGAGGTGGCAAATCTTGGATACACAGTTTATATGCACAGGAAACATATCCTCTACCTAATCTCCAGATTCAGACGGAATGTTTGCATACACTGACCCAGTCAACAGCATGTGTATGGACAATTCAATTAACTTTGGCTCTTTCTTATTTTTATTATCATTATTTTTAGAATTATATTATTTTGTTTTTGCTTTTTCCAGTTCACTTTGGTTTTCAACCTCACACTTTAGGCTAGCTCTTGTGCCAGCAGATCAGACATGAGGTCCAAATTTTGTGACATGTACAATGGAATGTGCTGCTTCCCAGTGGATGCCCGCACATTGAGAAGCAAGAAGTATCTAGACAGGTACACATACAGAGTCCCTTCTCAAGGACTGGAGTCAAAAGAGCAATACAACAGCCAGGCACGTCATTCTGTTGGCTAAGGTCATGTCTGCTTGTGGACTTGAGGTTGCTGTAACATGAGACAGCCGAATCACATGTGAAAGGTGGTACCAGCAGTTAAAGCCTTGGTCACTTGTACTTGAAAATTATTTTGTGAATGGTAGATGCTATCAAAGCAGGACTGGAACCACTGCAATCTGTGCTACAATTCTTTGGCGGTGGCATGACTAGCAAGATCCAACAATGTGTTTCTCTGTATCACAACCAGTCCATGTCATGACCTGGGAACCTCAAGCTCATTTGTACTTTGGACGCACACCAACATCTTAACTCAAGAGCCTTGGTCATCAAAAACTTAATGCTACACAAGTCCCATGGCAGTAGGAGGGCAAATGTGGCCAGAACTCACAAACTGTCAGACAATACTGGATGAAGGACGATTTTAACATATTTTGATCCTTGGTTGAATATAATTTTTAATTATTCACTGCTTGCACATACAACTGAGTACATTCATAAGTCTTGGATTCACATGAAGATAGTTTCAACAGCTGCCCCCTTATCCTGAGTCAACCAGTGGTACAGATGACAAAAAGCAGCAGATGCCTCCACTTCCTCTCCAGAAGGTGATGATATCATGGCAGTGCCTATGGATGTGTCAAGCAAGTGAAAACCATTATCCACCACCTCTCCATCAATGACTTCCCCTTGGCTTTCGCAATCAAGACGATCTGGTGGATGGTGACACCTTACTTGAATGATGAGCCCCTTTTCCACCCCGTCCTTTTCTTGGCCTCATATCCTCGGCTTATATGTGAGGGAGACATGCACTCTCTGGACATCAGTCTCTGTGCAGTCATGGTCTGTGAGGGAAGGGGAAGGGTCAGGTACAGGCGGAGTTGCTCTCCTGCGTGGGCTCGACATATAGTCTCCCGCGTGCGGAGGGGTCTTCACGTCTGCGCTTGACGACCTTCCCTTGAACCTTTCTGACCGTTTTCCTTGTCCTTTTTGCTCGAGGATCGTCGGACCAATTTCCTATCCTTGTCCTTGCTTGAGGTCCGTCTCACTGAGCTTCCCACGTTTTCACTGCTGCCTCCACCTGGTGCAGAAATAGGGCGTATATTACTATTACTTAAACTTCGAACACATGAAACATCATACATCATAATGTACCAACAATATCTGACAAGTCAAAGTTGATGTATACAATTCAATAAAGTTTTGTAATTGCGGAAATGTTGAAAAATTGCTTGAAAGGTTATGGAAATTAAATATCAAACTTTTCTACTACTGAAAATCTAACAATAAACAAGTTATACTCCTATCCAATTCACTCCCAAAAATTTTGTCAGTTTGAGATGAAAAATGGTTAACCAACAAACACAGAGGATCCATAAATATATCCAATTATACCTTCACTCAAATACACACTCATGAACACTCATACTCAAAGGCACAAACCAACATGCACATACCAATATACACATGCAAGCACACACAACGATAACCATAAGACCTTCAAAGTTTAAAATACTTTTAGCCTTGTCAGCCCGGACAATTCAGAAATCAAGTCCACACCTGAGGGAGGCCGATTGATTGAGCCAGATCGGAGAATATAAACTGCATGAGGCTGACACTCTACATCCACTGGTGTGAGAGGAGTTCCATGTGGGGAGTGTGACAGGAACCACTCGCTTCTTGTGCGCATTCGTTCTGTCTGTCTCTCGTGTACCTGGTGGATTGCACATAACAAGAGGTTAAAAATAATATGCACTGGCTAGCTGGTTTTACAAGTAATTCTGGTGTTGATTGAGAAATAGGATTTTATACATGAGATTTTTCCCCCTTTTTCATAAAGTTTGAAATTAACTACAATAGAAATTAGTATCCAGTATGACATATTCAATATTTCAATATGACTTGATTGAATATATATATATATTTTTTTTTATTCCATTAAACTGTTCCAATGAGCATTCCACCTAAATATAATTCATCCAGTATTTCTTCAACCATTCATTGAAGTATTAATCATATATCAAGTATTCTATTACTATATATCAGGGAAAAGATAAAATAAATATAAATAAATAAATAAATATTCAGACCCACTTTTCCTCTGGTATTCTCCTGAACCCATTGCCATAACAATAATAAAACCAAAATTTCTTCTTTTTTCAGTCACAAAGAAGAACCATTTTCATTTCTATAGCTACTTATAAAGACATGCTTAAAAATCACTGACTGAATTCTTAATACCTACTGCTTGTGCATACGTCATTCACCTCTGATGTAAGAGTTGCTCAGTGCTTCTGTATTCTTGTCACTGCCTTAGAAATGCAGTAGGTAATTCTTCATACTTAATATAAAGATACTTAAATATATAAAGGATTCAGATACTTAACTCTCTACATCTAGATGATGTAACCTGTATTTTACATATATTTGTGTAAGTATATGTGTAGAAATTTTACATAAATCTGTTTGCTTCCAAAGGGTATAATGAAACATTGTATTTCTTTTGTAATCTGTATCATTTGTTGAAATTTCAAATTGTAATGTATGTTCAACACAGTTTGCACAGAAGACCAATTTTCTATAAATTTTGTATACTGACTACCTGATAATTGTAGAGAGAAAGACTGTTTAAATCTTGGTTCCCTTATGAAAAGTGAGACCAATTCCTCATAAACACTAAAAATAATACAGGAAGCAAAAAGTCTGAAATGTTTCAAGTTTAAAATGACTTTTTCAAGCAGACACACAAGTAGCAATAATCCCACTTGGTATTCTTGCCAGCAGACTCTTTTACTTCCACTATCACTAATCTTGAGTTGTTTCAACTATTTGTTCCTTTAGCTTATTACTATTCCTACTCAATTCCAAATTTTCACAAATTTTCTCATCTGCATTTTGTTACACAATTTGCATTTTATAAATACCATCACCAGTCATACTATAGAGAGCATAACCATATCCAATGCATCATTCTGTGACATCACTCTGCCTCCTGAAAAACATCTCTTGTAAGTGACAATAAACAAACTATGTCACTAAGTTTCAATGCATTTGGGAAGTAGTAATATTTCAGCATGTTTTGGCTTTATATCTGTAGCCTGAAGTAGCTTGATGAGCAATACCTGGTTCTGTAAACTCAGCCTGAGTACTGGAAACGTTTTTAAATTGGACATGGATTAGTAAAGAGTAATGGCAATTTTAAAGTCTATGAAAGCATTCTTCAAAGGCAGTGACACAAATACACAACACTAACATCTCATCAACACAAAGGTAAATTCCTAATCTGTTTACCTATCTATATATGAGGTATAATACCAAACATGAATGGGTATTATTCCCGACCCCAATTCTTAACTTTGATGCTGGAAATGCAATTCTCCAGAAAACATATACTTGAGAAAAATCTTTGTGGAATGTACCGGTATGCATCAACAGGCAAGAGTAGAAAAAAATTTAGAGTAAAAAAAAATAACATATTTACATAAATACTAACATGCATGCTTAAATACATAAGATAGCGCATCATAAGTCTGTTAAAAGGTCTAAACTGCACTAAAAAAATTGAAGAAAATATTTGGGGCATGCAAAGCAGATTGGTATTAGTAGCTGGTAAATTCAACATAACTACAACAGACAGACAAGAAGGAAAAGACCCTCTCATACCCGCACACTCAAGTCTTATATAACCACTAGTTGACTCTGTCATTTTTTCTTTTTTTTCTGAATGTTTGGATAAACACTTGCTTGACAAAAGACAAAATGAACCTGGATTATTTGCCATGTGTAGAGAAAAATCACCTACACGTCACAAGAGCATAATTAGAACAAATGTAACATTGTACCTTTGATGGAAAATTATCGTCAGTGCTCAAAATCACCTCCTGAGTCTTGTAAGTAGAAAATCAACATGCTATATGAATGTTCTCTTGAGCAATGGTATGTAGCCAGTGTAGATTCAATTGTTCTTAAGGCTTACCAGTATTATAAGGCTCTAAAAATGTCCAGTCTATATTTGTATATCCACAGTATCAATGAAGTTTATATCTTCAGAACTATCTAAATTGGCATACAAAATATAAATAATAATAATAACAATAATGAAATCTTAATACAAATTCTTATATTTACCTTGTAATGAGAGATAAGTGACAAAGGCTGTCATAATAATGCTGCTGGTCTCAATACCTTTACAGTACTCTCAACTCTATATAAATTCCTGAAGTCAGTCATGTATTTCAATTTGAAAAGATGAACATGAATAAAATAACCCTAAAACAAATATATACTGTGTCTACTGACTAAATATCTTTCACATAATAGAACAGGCATTTGCCAGTTTCAATGGTGCTGTTGCAGTGGACTAATTCATATTCAGATCTACTATTGAACTAGGCAATCAAACAAACAAATCAAATTGATAATTGTACAAGATACCCTCTTCTAATATACAAAATACAATTTACTTTAAAAAAAAAGTTTCTATTCCTATCAATTAAAGAGACATATATTCATGCTACTTCTAAAATTACTAACACTTAACATGACGGTTCATTTTTTGCAATCCTTTGTAATCAGTAAATTATAATCTCTTTTTTCTTCTACAAATGAAACAAAATGGGTCAATATGGCATATTCAATCTGACTAATAAAGCTAATCTTCAATACTGCTGGGGGCTTTCATTCATATCTCACAAGTATGAAAAAAGTAGTGACAAGACTCCCAATAATGTATCTCAAAACCAGTGCAACCTTATGACCTTGCATGAACTAATAAAAAAAAGTAGTAGTATGGTGTGCTTATATATGTATATCTTCTGAGGGAGAAGGACTCCCATCCCGCTGACCTGTGGCAGGTAGGAAAGGCTCTTGGTACTCTCTGCGTAGCGGTTGACTTGCCGCAGCTCATCCAACGTCATGTGAAGAGCGGAGTGGGAACTGCCGCTGCTGAGGTCCTCCCCATTACCCTGTGACACACCACACAGCAAAGCTCTCAGTCTTCACTTGACACTCCATGCCCATGGAGGACTGCACAGAAACTCCCATTCAACTTCATACATCCTCAAACACCGCTTTACTACATCCAAGCACGCGAGGGAGCACCTTATGCCAAATACAGGAGATGAAACTACTCACTACACCCAGCTCTTACAGCTTATGCTTTAGCAAAATGGTTTTATAGGCAGGTGTGTACCAATTTTTGCATATTTTCTCCGATACTAGTGTTTATCTTTTAACTATGTTTGCTAGTTTTACATTTTCTTTCATTTGTAGTTGCTATGTTAGTCCAAAGAAGACTATCAGATTCAGGTTCAAGCTGAATCTTGCACACTATGAAATAAACTGCTCTTTACTTTTAAGAAAAATGTCAAGTATTTTATTCTTTATTTCATAAAAATGTGTCTTACTGAACTGCATATCATACTTAAATTAATCATTAAAAATTCTCAAACATATCTTTCCTTCCTTCAATGGCATGATAATTTATGAAAAAACAAAAAACACACACACACAAAAAAAAAAAAAAAAAAAAAGACTAACTCAATGGTGCTAGGGATTAAACATTAACCACTCAAGGATATGACAATCAATCTCAAAGAGAATCCAGCCGATCACTCTCAGTCTATAATGCCCTCCTCTCTGTAATAATTCATTACCTGTTCATAGTTCCTAAGGAATAAAAGCTTCTATGCTCTTAGGAAAGGTTAAAGGCAAGACGTATATTTAACCTGTTCTTTACTGTATTCATGGTGTGTGGTTTGTAAATATAATGTATTAAATCCCTTACAATGTTTCTGGCAATTCATTCTTAGTTAATTGTAAACTTTCTCATTTTCATGTAATTTTTCTTAGTTAAATGAACAATGATCAACGAACAATGTAATATACAATGTAATGTAAAATACAAAGAGATAAAAAAAAAAAAAAAAAAAAATGGGAGCAAAGATACCACAACCCTAGCCAGTGGCCTGGAAATTTTGAAATCTGATCTGCTTTGTGAAGAAAATGGATTACAGATAGATGGACTAGGGAAGGGTTAATCTGTATAATGAATCCTCATAACTTAGCCATTCCATGGTGTATCATGACAAAATGATCTCTTACGGTTCTCTACCAAAAGGAGGACTACATGCTCTAGTAATTTCCAACACTTTCTTAGCAAAGCTAGAAATGAGACAAACGTTAATGTTGAACACATTTCCATATTTATACAGAGAAGGATCATGTAAATAAGAAATGAGAAAGCACATATAATTCCACATCACAAGATACTGTTCAATTCAATATTTGGTATTACATCATACAGTTCTCATAAAACCATAATACCAAAAAGTGAAGAAAATATTTTGAAATGTGGAATCATTCATCCGCATTCGAACCTTTCTTGAGTTTGTGGCAATGATCACTGTCTGAGAAGGAGCATCTGGTGAGTATTATGCATTTTCAAAGAGAACAGGCTAAATATAAATGCTAATACATCTAATCCTAAAACAATAGGAACTACTTTTGTTAGTATGACAGCAAGAAATAAATCAACAAATATGTATATATAAATCTATATATCTATATACAAAGGTGAAGGCATTAGGTTAGTGAAGAATGAATAGTAATAATTCTCACAACAACAAATACAATAACAATATGGTATTACAGATACTGAAAAATAATGAATTAAAAAGGGGGACGGAAAAAGAACACAAATAGTGAGTTCCATATTAAGCTAAACATTCTCTTACAGGGGTATAAGAAATAACACACATTCTACCCAGCAACCACAAGGGAATACCATTAAAAAATTGTACAATATATGATAAAGTAATGATTAAGGATACATTGAGAGCGGGTTCCCAACATTAAGAAATTAACTACCATATAATAAATCATCCCATCCAAAGAATTTTGACAAAGGAAAACTATTCATAGCTACACCCTGCTAAAATTTTGTAAACACTCTTTTGATGGAGCCATACTATTCAAAGTTATTTTAGTTATTGAATATAAAAATATTTGGGAACTTCTGCCAAACAGAGAGAGGAAAAGATGAAGAAAGAGAAAGAGACGGAAAGAAAAAGAAAATAAGCTCTCAATAAATCACAGCCAAGAACGTCACAGA